GAAATACATTAGAAGTTTTGAACCAAAGAAGTGACATCATCACTTCTATGTATTAAAAAGTTCACTCTGGCCACAGTGTAGAAAACAGACAGGCGGTGCAAGGAGGAAGACTGGACGGACAGTGACCAAGAGAGAAGTGTGACTTGGAATTTGGGGATGGCATTGAAGATGAGAGTAGAGGGCAGACCCAAGAGATTTCAATGCCGTGCAATCCAAAAGTCTTATGCTAAACTGTGACAGAGACTGAGAGAGAGAGATAGGGCTGACAGAGACTTCCCGAACGGAGGCAGATGAAAGTTCCTCTTCCTGTGAATGGAAATAGCACAGGAGAAATTGATTTGATGTGGAAAATATCAAAAGATCAGTTCTGAACACCATGATCTTGATCCCATGATTTCTTTGATCTCCACAAATTCTTGTTACACTGCCCTGGTGTTATACTGCCTGGGTAGCTAAATTTTCACTCCACCTAATCTTCCTTGTCTTTGATGTCTGAAGGCCAGAAGTTCCCTTCAATCAGGACTGATTGAAACCAGTGGGATCTAAGATGGCTGCCAGAGTGACCACTGGACAACCTCTAACTTCATTATAATACAAAACATAAAGATTTTTCCCCTTGATTAGCCTATCTCTCACCTCATTTCTTTGTGCTCTATATCTATATCTGTCTTTACATACATACACAAATAGTGATTATATCTGTATTCTCTGACTCTCAGGAAGCAGGAAGTTGATTTATAAGTTTATCTCTCACTTCTCCTATTCTTGACTGAGAATAAAAGTCTCCTTTGCTGCTCAGTTGGGGAATTGGTTCCATAATTCAGAGAAGGAAAAAGACCCAGCCATTGGGGTAAAAACTTGGTAACAATATCTACCTATAACATAAGAAAACATGTCAATAAGCAATTAGATATCTGAATTTGGTCAATCTTTAGACCAGTGGAAGTAGAATCACCTGGAGCTTTTGATTATTTGACTCTACTCTAAGGCCTAATACCTTAGAATATTCAACGAAAATGGCCAGTTTCATAGAAGCAGTGGAAAAAACTATAGTCTTCACTGGATAATTACCCTAGTTAGCTTTGATCTCCTTTACAAGGCTGAGTACCTATAATGTTATCATAAAAAGATGGCCAGACCAAGGATTAAGTCCTTTGTTACATTCTAAGAGTAAATGTGCAGAATAATCTGAGACATGTCAGCAGCAGAACAAAAGCCCTATCCACATCCTTCTACTTATCTTGCCATATTTGTGTTATAGAATGATGCCACCTGCTACTAATTAAATGACTCAGGAACCAGTTTCCTAGTCAAAGGTAAGATATAACCCAGTAGTTCCAGTAATTCATTGAAGTGACTTTTCCCAAGAATCTAGCTTAACTGATTAACAATTCTGGGTAGTAATTGTATTAGGCAGGTTTCCATCACTCTAACAAAATATTTGAGATGATTAACTTATAAAGAGAAAAGATTTATTTTGGCTCACAGTTTTGGAGGTCCCAGTGCATGATTTGTTGGCCCTTTGCTTTTGGACCTGAGGTGAGAGTCCGTGGTAAAGCAAAATTGCTCACCTCTGGCCTTCAGACATCAAAAGTTATCAAATGAAAGAGAGGAAGGGACCAGAGTCCAAATATCCCCTTCAAGGGCACACACACACCCTAAATGACCTAAAGAGCTCCCACTAGGCTCCACCTCTCAAAGGTTCCATCACTTTCCAATCATGTCATTGCTGGGGATCAGACCTTTAGCACATGTATCTTTGGGGCAACTCATCCAAGCCACAGTGCCCACTAACTTATTGAATCAGATATTCTCTTTGACCAGAAAAGAGGAAAATGGAGAAAAATTAAAAATAGAAAAACAGAAGCAGAGTCACCAATGTGAGCATCAGTAAAGGAAGGTTCAAATGGTCCCCACTTTCTAGTAGATGATGGTGTGACTCAATACCCCAGCTCTTGATGGCTCAGCTCTTCAACATGTATCTGCAGAGTGCCTGCTATATGCCAGGCATTATGCAAGGTGGTACAAATTCTCAAAGCTATTATCATGACACCTTGCTCTATGTCCATCATGATGGGAACTACTGAGAAAACAAGGCACATGTGTGGACGGTGATGATGGAAGGATCTACTCTGTGCTGGAGAGGCTGTCCAGGGAGCAAGGCCTCCCTGATGGCACTAATTCCAGCCACTTGTGAGCCTCTGTGAAAAGAGTATTACAGGCATTTCAATGAAAATGGAGAATGTAAATGATTTAGACAGAAGTGTTTGGCATGAGGGTGAACCCTGGTGAACAAGGGGCAGGCTAAAAGGAGATTATGTGAAAGAGGTCATTCCAGGGTTGGTAAGCCATGGTTGGGTTTACATTTTTTTCTAAATGTGACAGGATGCTATGGAGGGATTTAATAAGGGGAATGCTGTGATCATATAGATGAGTTACAGGAAGTCAGTACACTGACTTCTATGTGGGCACAAGACGGTAGAGAAGCAAGTGCAGAATCAGTGGGACCAGTATAAAGGCAACTTAAGTCCTCCTAGAGAGACAGAAGAGTAACTTGCACAAGGTGGTAGCAGTGGAGGAGATGGAAGTGGTCAGATGAGGAATGCATTTTGAAATTAGTTATCAAAAGTAGAGGATGTATTGGGCAACAGAGAGGAACTAAGGAATTTGCGAGGGTTTTGATCTCAACAGCTAAAGATCATTTATTGAGATTGGAAAGACAGAAAAAGAACCAATGAGTTTCGTTTTGGACATATAAATTGGAGAAGCCTAATTACATTCAAGTGTAGAAATTCAGTAGGTTGTTGGAAATGGAAGCCTGAAGTTCAAGAGCTATGTTAGGACTAGAGAAAAACATTTGGGAGTCATCAGCATATTAAACTTAAGATTATGCCTGTTTAAGGAGAACAGAGGAAATTCTGATTTATTTCTTTCTATTTATACCTTCATATGAAACTTGCTCGCATCACAGGAGGTAACCTACACATGTTCCTGTTTTCAAAATCTAGGTAACCATAAGGACTATAGAAACTAAGAGGGAGAAATATAAATGAGCTTAGGAGATAGTTGTCTGTTTATAAGATTAATGTGAAAGGTGGGAGTAGCATCTTTCCTGATCTCTGTGCTAGTAACTCCCTACAGCTTATGAAGACAGAAGGAATGAGTCCACCTAGTTTGCTTTGCTTGTTTCTCTGGTTTGGTTTTGCTATCTAGTTACCAACTGGATAACTGGAAGCTCTACCAGACTTGTTGTTAGAGCAAATTTTTTCAAAACTGTTAATTACATGTGTTGGGGCCTTGCTCTCCCAGTAACCTTTTTCTATTCTCAATAATTGTATCTCACACTGTAATTTTAAGAATTCTACATTTCAGAGCAATTGTATTGCTGTATTCAGCATCTCATAACATTCTCTTTGTTTAGTCATCTTTCTTATGATCAAATGTTTTTACTGTGCTCACAAGATACCATATGTTACCATTGCTTAATTTTGTCTTGAAATATTAATTTCTAGCTCTTAGGGATAGACTGAATAAAACACGTGGATTTTGCTTTCTCTTTTGTCATAAGAATCACAAAAGATACTTACTGGTTATAAAATGACATAAATGACTGGTATCAACACCCTGATATCCTATTGAAAAATTAGATGATTATCATTAAAGGACAATCTTAGGGCACTCAACAGTACAAGGTTATATGAAAACCGTGCAGCATAATTAACATCCCTAAATGTTAGGATCCAACATTCTTAGGATATTTGAGAGCTAATGGGCCCTTAGAGCTTTGAGTTTAAGATTTTCCTTTAGAAACTATTATTCTCTGAGGACATGGGAACAGGATTACTTTATTTAGCTTAAGCTAACCCAAAATAGAACAGAGGAAATAATTCAATGAGTGAACATATATCTTTCATTGTTTCCCATTCATGCCAAAACTAATGTGTCTTGAAAAAACTAAATCACTTACAATGGGGAAAATATCTTTAAAATGATTATAATTATCTTCAGACAGGAATGTCTAGTACTCTCAATAATTACATTGGAATAAAAAAATGTTGATGATTGTATTATTTACTAGTTACACACAAGTAAACATGGTGTTTAATAGCTGTACAGGAAGGAAATTTACTGAAAGTATCTACTAATGTGTCCATTTATATCCCACCTCCCTGAAAAGTCCCCAAATCTACAGAGAATAGAGTGGAAAATTTTACTCCCAATTTAGACATTTCTCCAAACTCCAGAGGAAGCTGCTAGGCTAGCCTTGCATGCAGCTAAAACCAAGCTGGACGACTGCATGATGAAACACCCAGCCAGCAGTCCTAGCACCAGAGGGGAATATGAGCTACTGGGTAGAGTGAACTCCGCCTCATGTCAGGAACACTTTGGTGTGAGAAATTAAAGACACCTTCCCTGAACTGATGGTAGTCAAAATACTAATGCACTTAGACATTATTTTAGCAGTTCCAATTTTGAGGAAAAATTCTGGAAAAATGCCCAAATTTGAACAAGCATTCTTCCTTATTATTTCAACAGCTGCTACAAGTACAGCAAACAGCTGTTTGGGTTTCTTAAAGCTGATTCCAACACAAGGCAATGAAACCATACTTTACATTAAATCTCCCTCAAATTCAAGTTATTTGAATTCTCTTAAGATGAGGGTAGCGTGGGGGATGACAATTATCTGTCAACACTAGCAAAAATAATTAGAGACTATGGAAAAAATCCCTTCAAAGAAAATATGTGAGGAAAGGTAAAAGAAAAATTTTTGTCATTATTGTGAAAACTAAATTTCCAAACTAAGATTCTAGATTCCTAGTTAATGCTTCTTCAACCACCTATTTTACTCTTGGTGGAACCACATTTTAAACAGTATCTTACTGAACATTGCATCACTGAGTTGTGGAGATGAGACAAGATCCAGCTTGCGATGGAATGGATGGTCCCGAGAACAGAAAACCTCAATACTCAGGACACCCTGAACAGTACCTGAACAGTACCTTTCATGGTGGGCGGTGTATATACACTCTGCTTCCTCTGCTTAGGTGATGCATTCTGTGACTGTGGACAAGAGAAAAGAGTAAAAGCATGAGATGTAAATGATGGTGCCATCAGACCTGAGAGGGAACTAAACACTGTACTGTGTTTTAAAGAGCTTTCTGACATCCATACCAAGAAACACAGTTCTAGTTAATGAGATTGATTACACATGTTCAGTGATTTCACAGGCTTAAATGTGAAGCTGTAGGTTCTATTTTATAATAAAGTTCTTCATCCTTTTCAGTCATAAAATTACTCTTTTAAGATTAATTTATTTTAAACACATATACCAACATGCTATTAAAAAGGCATCTCAGCCCAGGCTGTGGCACATGCCTGTAATTCCAGCAGCTCTAGAGGATGAGGTAGGAGAATCACAAGTTCAAAGCCAGCCTCAGCAATTTAATGAGGCCCTAAGCAACTTAGTGAGAACCTGTCTCAAAATTTAAAAAATTTTTAAAAAGCAGAGGCTGGAGTAGTAGCTCAGTAGTAGAGTTTCTTGCCTAAAATGTGAGGCAGTGGGTCTATTCTCAGCACCACATGTATATAAATAAAAAATAAAGGTCCATCAACAACTAAAAAATCTTTAAAAAATAAAATAAAAAGGGCTGGGAATATGGCTCAGTGGTTGAGCATCCCTGGGTTCAATCCCTGTTGTCAAAAAACAAGAGAATCCAGGTAGCTAAATCCAACTGGATTGTAGTATATATACACACATACATATGTGTATATTTCACTTATTAGAACAGTAACATTTATATAATATATATTTCAATATCATTATGAAAAGTGATTTTGACCCTGAAATATCTTCTTATTTTTATCATTTCTAAATGCAAATTCTTTCTTCAAAAGCATTTTTTAAGTTAATAATTCTTTCCACTTGAGAGAAAAACATGAGTTTTGAGACAAAGTATACTCCATGGGATAATAATATGTGTTCATAGAATTAATGAGTGGTTCAGGAGGCATAATGAGGATCCTTGGTAAGTAATAGCAATTCATTACTCTCTTGAGGTGACACGTTCATCCTAAGGTCTCTATTTGAAATTATAATGTTGAGGTATTATTCTTTTGTTTGTTTAAAAGGTAAGCCCTTCGCTAACAAAACAGCTGTATAAGACCATTATCTAAACTCACTGGATCATGATTAAGTTATTAAAAACAGGATTTGCATTTAGAATAATCATTTCAGGATCAAAACCACCATTCCACAGTGATATAGAAATATATGTACAATAAATACAATATGATTTATTCTAATAAAAATATATGTAGTCTATAATCCAATCAGATTTTGCTACCAAACTTTGCTACTCCTTTTTAATAGCACATTGTTGATTTATATTATAATGTGATAAAGGTAGGGGTCTTAATCAATGACTTTCAGTGTCTGAATTATTCAAAGCAGTTATTTTTTTGCTTTGAAAATCATAGTTATAAGACACTTTTAGGTGAGTGCTTTTTCACTGCGTATTAGAAAACATGATATACAGAGTTAAAAAAATCATTAAAACTGTTTCATAAAGTTGAGTTTATGAGGCAACTTTCTTTGTGCAAATAAAAATGTAATTGCCCTCAAACTCATCAAGATGATGATATTTACCTAATGCAAAAGAAATCTATTAAAAAGTAAAAAATTCAATCAAACAGTTGCAACTGCCCATCAAGTGAGTAAATAGTACAAGTAAATTTCTCCAGAATTGTTTTTTGGAACTAGTCTATTATGCATGGGTGCAGGAAGGGTGACTACATTAACATTAAATGTGTGGCTGATTGGCATTTCTGGGGCACTTCTATTATTTCAGTCACATCAGGTTGATTTTGTGAAGCAATCACCTCTGGAATTTCTTTTATATCTTCTTCAATACACATATTCAAAGATCGAGTAGAAGATTAATTCTGCAGAAGTGCTTTTTTGTTGTTTAATAACATAGCAGTAAAAACTTATGTAATAAAAAATAAGGACTTTATATAAGTTCTTAGTTTTCCCAGTTACTCCCTCACTAAAAACTTTTGAAAATCCTGTGAGATACTATTTGGGATTTTGTCCTTTTTACATTTTCCTCTTTGGGTCTTGCTGTATGCCTACTCATGATCATGGGAATTGACTAAGTTCACAGATCATTCAGTTTGATATTTGCTCCACTTCTGGGCACAATTTTCCTGCTTCCTTCCTATTTTGTATATTCTATACTATCAACTAGCTTCCCTTCCTTTTTTTCTGTCTGAACTCCTACAAGTGTGTATGGAGGGACTAGAAGATTACAATGTTCAGGCTAGCTGAATGTGCTTCTTGCTGAACCCCTAGATTCTGTTCATCTAGGTTCAGAAGACTTCATTCCATCCAGACTCTGGCCCAGGGACTGAATTTGCTCCATGCACCAGAAGAACATCTCCTTCCTCTAGGATTCTGACATTGTCTGGCCCTACCCCTTTTTGCTCATAAATAATCACTCAATTAATTAAATTATTGATACTACATTCTATCACTAAAACCATCACTTTACTTTAGAAGTTTTTTTAAAATATTTTTTTAGTTGTAGTTGGACACAATATCTTTATTTTATTTATTTTTATGTGGTGCTGAGGCTTGAACCCAGGGCTTTGCACATGCTAGGCGAGTGCTCTACCGCTGAGCCACAACCCCAGCCCTATTTTTGAAGTTTTTGCAAAGCTTGTCATTCCATAGAAAATCAGAGAATTAAGGTAACTGAGAAGCAGAGATTTTAATGACCTCATTTTACTGTTCAGTCAGGAAAAGCAACCTAAATAGTTTTTACATCACAATTTACATTATATTTTATATCAAATAAAATCAAGCTAATTTTTTTTAAAATTTTAACACGTTTCCACAAAATCTGGGAAAACTTACTTCTCCTTGTGTGTTGTTGGTCACCCTTTTGTCATCTATTTCTGAAAGAGAAATAGGTATAACTTATTAGAAATGTAATATTCTTCCTTGTATAATACAATTAACATTTTTATCAACATACCAAAATACTTTAATAATTGTCTATGCTTATACATTGCAATGTGGCTTAGAGCTGCAAAGGATAGCAGGACAGGAGTGGTTTTCTTCTGAGATAAACTTCTCTCAATGGTTTTTTAAAAAGGCAACGAAGATGCATTTCTCTTGACGTTCATGTTGCCACCTTTCAGTAGTCCAGAAAGAGAATCAGGGAAATGACTGTCTGAAACAACCACTGGTATTACCAACCTCATAGTGTCAAGGCACAAGCAACCTCTTCTTGATTTTGCTCCTGCTATCACTGTGTATTGAGTGTAGCCTCTGTCAAGCTTCTTCAAGTTTTCCATCAACAAAAACAAACCTCCTTTCCCACTCAACCCAATCACTATGACTGCAAGGAAGACAGGACCTTTCCTTCTACTGCCCCTGGGGAGAACCAGTTACTTTCTCAAACATCTTCTATGACAGTGCCCAGACAAATTCTACTCAGGTGGTATAAATGGTTGTGAGAAAAAGGCATTAAAGGGAGAGGTGCTCCTATGCACCTCTTCTGCAAGGGGAGAAGGTTCTGGGCCAGGTTTCTTTGCTTCCTCCTCACTTACTCTACATGAATTCTGCTTCTTGGCTTCTTGACCCAGTTGCACTTTCCTGATCCTTACGGTAGCGTGAAAGCTGACTGTATGAGAAGTCCATCAATGAGTTTCACTTAAGAGACAATTATAAGAATATATATTCACAAGAAGATATATATTATGTAGGTGAAATTATTTCAAAACTACATGCACTGTATTTTTATTTTATAAAAGATAATAAATGTACATGAGGATAGGCATATGCATTCATAGATACCTATATGCTACCAATAGTTACCTCTGAGTGATAACACATTTCTTCTTTATCTATATTTGTACTATTTGTTTTTCTTTTTATAATGAGCATGCATTACCCTAATCTAATAAACAGTGTATATCTATGTACATATATGTGTATGGGTAGAGATATAGATACATCTATGTATGGGTTAGATAAGAGATAATTACAAAAAAAAAGCTCACAAATAAGACAATGTAAGAAAGTTTGGAGGTAGAATACTTTGTGAGAGCTTTTATCTAATCAGTGCATTAACCCATGAATATGGATTAGCTGGGCAGTAATTGTAGGCAGGTGGAGAGTGGCTACAAGAGGCAGGTCACTGACGACATGACTTTGGGGTTTATATTTTGTTACTGGTGAGCGGAGCTCTCTCTGCTTTCTGGTGGCCATATTGTGAGCTGCTTTTCTCCTCCGCGACCTTCTGCCATGATGCCCTGCCTCACCTCAGGCCCAGAGCAATGGAGTCAGCCACTTATGTACTGAGATTTCTGAAATCATGAGCCCCAGATAAATGTCTCCTCCTCTACATTTTTCTTTCCAGGTCTTTTGATCTCAGGGATGAAAAGCTGACTAAAACAGCCTACATGTAGTAAAAAAAAAAAATTATATAAATCCAACCAGGTATAAAGTTTGTATTCATGTAGTAAGACCCAAAAATATCCAAACAGCTAGAATGGAAATACTATGTATTCTAATCTGATATCTTGGTTACTAGATTTTGAAGTTTCAGAAATTTCTGATGAATTTTACCACCTTTATATAGGGAAGGGCAGACAGAAAGCTATTGATTTAGGACAAAAATCATAATTGTTTGATGAAACACTGCAAATAGCTGGCTCATTATTAGATAGTTACGCATATTGAACAGTTCTCTCAATGTGAGAACTTTTGTTACCACATTTAATTAAATATCAAATGTGATCCATGTAACAATGCATGCATTAGGACCAATTAGATTGTCAAATGCCATTGTGGTTTCTTAGTATTTGGTCTTCAAAATTCAAAGGACCTCTGACTGTTTTAGTGATAAAACAGGATCCAGTCATTCAGCTTTTCACTTTTTCTAGTTTCTAATTTGAGCACACATAGAATAGTGTCTTTCCAAAGAAATGAGAAGAACTTCATTGACTGCATAATTCAACAAAAAAAAGGTTGTTATTTTTATTTTGTTGACATACATCAACTAGTTATGTCATGAAAATAAGGACTGAGAAAACAATTCTATATTCTTATCATGATACTGAAGAGTAAAAACAAAATGACTTTCAAGTCAAAATGACTTAGATAAAAATACAACGAAAGCCCCCAAAAGATCATAATTTTCTTGAGATCTATTGTTTGAAGTGCATTTCTCCTTCCTTTACCAGATTGCTATTAAATTGAATGGCCAGTCTTTTTGCCTCCTGAGCACCTCACATAAACACACCCATACTACAAGCTCATAGGGCACACTTACTGGGATGACATGCAGACATAAACACAATGTTCTCTCTAATTTGTACCATGAACATTGTCACCAAAAACGAAGACCATAAGAGCACATGCAAGTTAGATTGGATAGAGAGAAGTGATGGGAGGGGAGGGGAGGGTAAGGGGGGATAGGAAGGGCAGCAGAATAGAATAGAAATTGCTGCAGTCCGGCTGCAGCAAAAGAACTGGGGGGTGACGAGCAACTTGTGTAGATTGATACAGCAGGAGTGGGAGCCGTTTATTGTAGGACAGGAGGGGTATATATACAATACACACAGCTTATCTTAATTAACATAAACTAGATACAGCAGTCAACCAATAAGAAATCTCCACACTTAATGTCTCGCTGGCGTTACTTCACAAACCACTCCCTCTGGCAAAATGCCAGGCGCCATCTTGACTTGTTTACAGACCCTAACAAGAAATTATGATTGCTGTTTCTATATAGGTGATGATATGACCAATGTGATTCTGCAATCTATACAATCAGAAAAATGAGAAATTATACCCCGATTGATTCAAAAGTATGAATTGCCAAGAGCACATGCAAGGTCTCACCAACTCTGCACTAGGACATCAAATGGTGTTTATAACGTCTCCAGGGCCTCAAATGATGACCCAATGTCTAGCTGAAAAAGTGTCCAGGAATATTGGATTCCATGTGAAATATAAGGATAGATCCCAGGGTTCAAATACGTTTAGCTTTTTCATGAAACAGAAAAATAATACTATTTTGGAGTAGGGTTGAACAAAATTAGTTTTTTAACTGATGAGAGATGTGTTAATTTATTACCCATAATTAAAAACTACAAATCTGAGTCTGTTGTACCTACTTCAGATTTGTCTTATTCATATTGTCCCCTCTTTCAAGAGGCATTTGATCTGAAAGAAGAAATTCCTTGCCTTGGGAGAAAAATGTCAGTCATCTAAGAATGAAGGAATATACCATTTTGAAGGAATATACCATCATTGAAGATGGAGATAGGGCTATGAATGGTTCTAAAATGTTTTGAATGATAATTAGCTAGAAATTCATAATGTATTTAAATTCATGAAAGGAACAGAACAAATTCAGGATCTATATGAAAACACACACAAACTGCATACACCAATCATCTGATGGTCTAGATACATCAATGAGATCTGATCAGACTTTTGAAATCTAGTTATAACAAAAAATTAAGTAACTACTATGTAAATGATGTTTAGGAGTAGGAAACAGGGAAGACAAAGACAATTTTTTTTTAAGTTTCTGAACTATAAAAGAGAGAGAACTGCAAACAAGAAAGTAGCAGAATGTAAAGAGATATAAAAATAAGGAACACCTAGAAAGCCAGGGTTGAGGTTGGTAGAAAAATTTGTATTTTGACCAAAGCACAGGAGAGCACATGTAATTTCTAACATGGTCTTCCACTCATCTGTCATGACCACACAAAATTACTTGATCTTCTTGAACTGCAGGGTATTCCTTCCATGTGAAACAGGGGAGGATGTACAAGAACTCTTTCTCTGTGTTCCTTATTTTCTCATAAGCTTGTTTCAAGGAACAAAAATGTGGGACAATGACAGGAACAATTTCCCACTCCTTAAGTTCAGACTGAATAGAGCTATGTCTGTCCAAAGAGTACAGTATGGAAAGGGGGAGAGGTGAACAAGGACCTTCATCATAGTAAGGAAACTTGGCAAGCATTAATCCCACCAGGGGACCAAGGTCAACATCACCAGTTATAAATCATGGTGATAGCACAAACCCTTGCTATGAAGTCATAAAGATGGCTCCTTACCTCAGACAAAGGAATATTATACAATATACCTGATCCATATTCCTCTAAACTGTCAAGGACAATAAAAACAAACCTAAGAAATTATCTTACTCCAGAGCTGCCTAAGGAGACACAATAAATGTGACAGTATAGTAGATGGAGTCTTAGATGGGTAACAGGTAAAGGACATTAGATAAGAACTAAGGGAATCTGAACCATGCACACACCTGTAACCCCAGCTACTCGTGAGGCTGAGGCAGAAGGATTGAAAATTCAAGGTCAGCCTGGGGCCACTTAGTGAGTCCCTCGCTCAAAGTAAAAAAATTCAAAGGGCTAGTGATGTAACTCCATGGTAAAGTGTCCCTGGGCTCAATACCCATTGCTATACAAAATAAATAAACAAATCAATAAATAAGAACAAGTGGGAATCTGAATAAATGATAGATTTCAATTAATAATGATATATCAATATTAAGTCTTTATTCATAACAATATAACACTTTCGTGACTAATGTAAGACGTTGATAATAGGAAAACTGTGTAAGAGGATGATATATGGGACTCAGTATGCCCATTACATTTTTCTGTAGATCTTAAATTGTTCACATAATTAAATCTATTAATAAAAACTTGAGCAAGAAGAAAAATGCAAAATCCCTAAATGCAAATAAAAATTACCCCAAGAATATACTTGGTTTCTGTCATTGCTATCAGAATTCTGTGTATCATTTTAGGAATGCCAGGGAGTTAGAAACTAAGTAATGTAACTAAAAATAAGATCACAAGAACAATATCGTTTTTAAAATGTCATATTGGCCCAGTGAAAGAGATAAAGGAAA